TATCCGTATTTATATATACATTATATCTAATATAAAAACTTATAATTCATATTTATATATATACATATATATATTTATTTTTATATAATAGGTAGTATACTTTTTATCATAATTATTAATAGGTAATTATATATATTAATACTATATATATATTGAGTATTAATACTACAATATATCACTCACACATTCATCCTTTTTGAAGCTTTGATACCGGTAAGGTTAACAGTAATATTTGTATTTTATTAAAGAGGATAATAATTACAAACAACATCTTCAAAAGGTTCATTTATTCTGGTAACTACATTAAAGAACCAGATATTAGACTTTCATACCATCAATCAATCAAAACAAATTATTAATTCACACCAACCAATGATATTATATTTTGATCTGATCATTTATAATAAATAAATTTCCCATATCTCTTCTCATCTTGGTTTACCAGCTGATCTGGATCAGTTTGTTTCATGGTTGAAACTTCTGATATATGTATATTCAACACAAGAAGTGGCTCCAATAATAAACGTCTGACGCTATTTAATAATGAACATACTAACACACACCAACAATACCAAGATGAACAACATAATTTGGCAGTGTTTATTTCAAAGTCCTTCCTATCCTAAGAGCCTAGAGTGGCGTTCTGGTAGTGATCGTGCTATGTGTGCTGATGGAGAAATCGCGACTATAGTTGGGCACACACTAAGTATACCGTCTCTACAGCGACTGCGACATTCTCGCAACCATCACAGTACTATTACAATCTAGACCATCCTATGCATATGCTACAAACGGGTTCTCCCAATTCTCTATACCAAAATCTTCGCGGTTCCTCAGCCCTACACATGAACGTAACTTCAGTCTGTAGCTACAATTGAACAGAGAACATACACACAATCGAAACAATAACTTTTTTATTTTTCATATCAAACATCTTTTCCTACCTTTTTTCATCTTCCTCTTCTATAGGGACACCGAAGATGAAACGATTATGTATTTCCAATGTTTGACATGGTATTATATATATGTTATCTATTTTGAGATTCAAAGCTAAGTTTACAATCAAATCAGACTATCTTTGTGGGCCCTACTGACATGGGGAGCGGCCCCTTGTATATAATTCAGCCCCCCTTTTTGACTGATGTTCAGACTATGAGAAGCTAAATATTAAAAACTGAGATTTATTCCAAGCTTCGCTTTATTGCTGAGCACTGATTCCTGAGCTTGAAGCACAATAAGTCCATCAATACCAATCAAGCTTGTATATGCTGATCTGACAACATGTGCTGTGTGATCAGCAACGGTGAAAAGAGATATCGAATATTTTATTACATACATTCCTTCTCTAGTGTTACCTCATTATGAAAGATAAATGTTGGTTTCCAGGATGCTGTTTCAATCTGTCTGACCTCATGCTCCATGTTGACCTCTCCAGTTTCTTCCATCATGATGTAGATCTCAGTGTAGATGTCACGTAGATGTTTTGAATTTCCTTGCATTTCCTTCCTTGCTTTTGTGATTTTCTCGAAAACATATTGAAAGTTTTTCTTCAGGTTGGATTTGAGTTTATGCTGACACTCTGAATGAATAAAAATGAGATATCATAGTTGAGAGGATGCCGCAGTAAATGGGAGTCATCAAAAAACAATTAGCACATTTCTATGTTCATTTAAATTGCCTTGAATCAGGACACTGTTTGTATCTTGTTGCTTTTTGGTAGCTTGCTTCCAAAGTCGCTCCTCTTTGAAGGGAAACATGACATTGTGTGTGGGGAGTGGTCTCCTCCATCACTCAGGCTCCAGGATCCTCCTCTCTACACACCTGCCTGCCATCAATCACCACTGCCTAACAGAAACTATCACCATCTGCCGTCAACCAGCCCTCATTCCCTGGATTCTGTCTGCCAAGCCTTCCCTGGACAATTACCCTTCACCATTTCAACATTCACAATTGTCTGGCGGCCGAGTCTGGTTCAACCTTAAAAACGTGACAGTTGTGACACAGTCAAGTTTAATTATTGTAGCATTTATACCTTTTCAGCAAAAGGGAATACCACAACCCCTTTTCTCTGTTTTTTCTGGTCATATAGCATCAATTTAAAAAATATTTTTGTTCTTCCAGTGGTCTAGACAGCCCTGTCATGGTCAATTGTCAATTACCTTATCACAATATAAAAATGTGATGCATACATTATGTAATATGCACCTTCTTACTTTAGCAGATCCTCTTTAAAGACCTACCTGTAGGTTTTGTGATGGTGTTTGATAAATTCTCCACCAGATTATTCAGATTCATCTTCCCCAAAACCATTCTGGTCACTTTGATAGTGTTTATACAGTAGGTCTGCACCATCTGATCCACTGTGTCCACCCTGTCTGCATTCTCCAGTCGACTCTTTTTAATTGCTGGGAAGCCTTCCAGGACCTCTGACTGCTGCAGGAGCCATTTGAATATTTTTAAGTCCTTGGCTCCCAAATCCTCCAAAGTTCCCAAGACGACCTGTTTAGGTGTCCCCATCTGCCTTCCCTATCAAGATACAATATTACAATATATTGTTATAAGATATTATTGGTTGGATGTGTGAGCCCAAAACATCTACAAATGTCAACAGAAAAAAAGAGTTCTATACAGTAACCCAAAACCCAACTGGTCCCAAAAGCAAGTAATGAGGATGGACTTTTATTACAACAAGGTTTTGAATACAGGAAAAAAAAAAGTTACCCGTAAATTACCCGTACGTCCTACAGAGCTGGAGTTTTTTTTTAACACATTAACTTAATTGTGAACAAAGTTTACCTCACTGCAGCTTATGGTCTGTTCAACATCTCTATATTTTTCAAAATATGCACATTTTTTAAATGTTCTCTTCTTTCTAACAGCTTTCAGATCAGTCGAACAATGAGTCCACAGTGACTTTAAATGTCTTAATGTTATTAGTACTGTACACACAGTAGAAAATGTCTGATTAAACATCACCAAAATATTTGACAAATCAACCATGTGGTTGGTGATTAAGCATTTTTTACGTTTTTGCTAATAACTCATGAACCCATGATGAGTAGAATAATTTTTGTACAGTGCCCTCCGTTGGATTATGCGGATATAAGCCACGCCCATTCATGCCTTAAAAACATTCTGCCTTTTTGGATTTTTTGATGAAAACATTTGTAGCTTCTTTTGGCAAATACTTCATCTAATCTTCACCAAAATGTATACACAGTATATGTAGAAGCAGTCAAAGAACACTTATAGGTTTGTGTTTGGGTATCACTTATTGTTTGTCTGTAATTGGTTATTGAACATTTGAAGGCATGGCCTGATGCACTTAATGGGACATAATTCTTTAATTCTGTATTGGATTGCAACCAAATGTGGGAAAGTTGTACATAAAACCACACTTCAAGTGTGTGTAACATTTTACTTCTATTGATACTACTACTACTGTTAGTACGGCTACTTCTACTGGTACCAAAGAGTAGTAGTAGTAGATCTAAGAATAGGAATCTTAGAAATGTTCCACATCCCTTCGTACATTACAAACTACTGGAGCTTCTTCTGTCTTTGATCTTTTTTTTATTATACAAAAGAAATTCGCAACTACTTTTACTATTTTAATTTTCTTACCCTACAAAATGTTTTTGTCATAATTCCAAAAATGTGTCCCATAATTTGATCTAGCAGCACTATTTCTTTATATTTATTAAATTTCTTCTTGCTCAGAAAACATTTCAATAATTCATATATTTTATTTTTATCACTTACATCCTGTCTGTTGGCTACCTTGATGATTGACATGCACTAGAACAGAGACCACAGTAACCACATGAAAAACATGTTCTGGGGCAGCTCTCCGACCTGTCGACACTCTGCATTTTTTTAATGAACATTTCCTGTGAGCCACCAAAAGTGATACATGAAAATAATCCTTAAATCATTGATCTTGAACTTAACAGAACTCAAGTAAAGAATCAAGAATATTTACACATTCAACAAATTCATCCATATTCATATTTTGAAGCATCCATAAAGCGTCAGAGATACAGCACAATGTGATCAAAGTCATCCTGATGATCAAACATTTACACATTTCTCTGGTAGGATTCTCACCTGCTGAACTCACTTCAGGTCGACTTACAGACACTTTCCACCTTCATGTGTGGAGGAAACACTGTGAGAGAGAAAGTAAGCTGCTCCTTTTTCTTCCTCGTCTCCAGGTCCTAAGGATGTCTGTGTGGCATTTGATCTGGGAGGACGCGTCACACCCTCAAAACTTCCACAGGTCCAAGTCTGGTACAAACACCAGAGTGACGTCAGAACCAGCTAACTTCAGAAAGACTATATACATCTATACAGTTTCTATAATCTGTCCACTAGATGGTGCTAACTAACCCTCTAATGAAATAAAGATCAGCTACTGAAAGATGGAATGAAGCAGCAGACAAAGTGAAGTTTCCCAAATGTATTACAACACCACAACAGTTTTTGTATCTTATGATTCTCATCAAAACTGGGACATTTAAATAATAAAAACTATGAGCAAAAACTCCAAACATGGTTTAACATTTTCAACCTCCTGATACACCTGCGTGTATAGTATGAAGTAACGTCGTTGTGTGATCAAAGTGATCAGTTGTTATAGGTACACAGAAACTAGATACACAGAGGACTACACAACTGCACGAATTGTTAACCCTTGGTTTAATTGTCCCACCTGCAACCAGTACAACATGGTGCACTGATGAGCTCCTCTCTTTTCCTCTCTCTTTCTGCACTCATTCATGCCATGAATAATGGCATGGTTACTACTTCATTCTTCCCCTGAGTTCTTGTGCTTTATCGTCTGCAGTTCTTAT